CAGGAGGCAGAAGCTATGGTGAGCTGAGATAGTGCCACTGTATTCCAGCCTGGGTGACAGAGTGAGAGGAGGGTGGACAGGGCATAACTAGTAAAACAGGCTGCGATACAAAGCAGACCCTACTACCTGAGAATGAATGACAAAAGCCGTGACTTCTATGCCAAGACTGATGCATCTAATTGTTCATACCCGCTTCCCTCACCCCAGTGGCTAAACTGACTTTCAAACTACTGTTTTCAACTATACCATGTTGCCAAATGGCAATTGATGATCATTTTCTAGGGCCAAGAGAAATTTATCCTGCTGATAAAAAGAGGGACGGCTATTCCATTTACTAAGAATTGCAAAGAGGTTCTGCATGACTCTCTCTGGCTGGGAGGTACTCGGGAAGCTTTCCATGTTACTTGTACTTGTGTGCCATTGCGATTAGTATTCATACAAGAAGGCCAGAATTTGGTTTTGAATGGCTCTTGGTCCAAAATATTGATCATCATTTGGCATTTGGCAAAATGGTAGAGTGAAATACTCTAGTTTGAAAGTCAGAAGTTCTTCTCTAAAGTTAACTTTTAAGATAGTGTTTTAGTTATCAAAAACAGGAAACAATCAAAAACACGATAAGCCTTTTAAAACTGTCGAAATTTGATCAAGCGCTTGGTGTAAGCCTATTTTTTCCTCTCTAACAACAAAAGTACCAAGTGAAGTCAATGAAAAATTTATTTTACATGCTTGCTATTAAGACTAAAAAAAAAAAAAAGAATAGTACTTAGCCTAATTCCTTGAATAATTTGCAAGACTTACCACGTTGAGAAAAAGAAACACACAGGGATCTAAAAGAATTAAAAATTATTATTATTGTATCACTGGAAGATAGCATTTTTTTATTCTTCTTAGCACTTAAAAATTCTCCCTTTGTCCTTTAGAAAGTTTCTGATTGAATAACAAAACAGATGAGCCAATGTAAATCGAAGGCTATTTAAGATAATGATATCCTTTTTTCCTTTAGAGGAATCATCTGAATTGTGTGAAGGAAAAGGGACTTTAAAAAAACATTTTCCTCATAAAGTACACTAAAATAGACATCAGAATAAAATATGGGCAAGCTTAAGAACTATACTCATCCAAGCACTGGGATCCTGCCAATGATACTGCACAAAAAATAAAGGAGATTTTAAAAATTACAAGAAGAAAAAACTACTTTGGACATTCTTCAAAGTAAATCACCACCTTAGGCACAATATAGATTTTTACTATTTAAGGCAGAGAACAATAGTTGTTCAACCTGAAGCTGACATTGTATTAAGCAGCAATGAGTAAAAATTACTATATAGTATAAAATTAACTACCTGGATTTTCAAGTCTTAGTAAGTGTTCCACATACACAAATTAAAACTGGTTCACAATAGAAACAAGTCGTACCATGGTCATACAATGTTTTGAAACTTGGTCATCCACTGTTTAGAGTAGATTCAACCTTTAAACAAGTTTCACAAAAGTAGAGTCATGATAATCCTGCAATCTACTCAGAACTGGTTACTAATGTATATTTACCAAAAAGCACTTCTAGGTGTGCTACTATTAAAGTAATTTTTAAGTACAAATGTAGATATATTTTGCTAAATTTCTTTTGGAAAACCTTGGGACTAAAGAAATTGATTCAATATTTCTAAACATCATTATGATATTCAGGAAGTTTAAAATAGCAGTTAATTTGTAACACAGTGATCACTACATGATTCACACAAATTAGCACTTTTATGTCATTAGGTAGAATTAGACTCTTTATGCCCCGTAATAACATTGGCTCAGCAAACATTTCTTGGACACTTTCTATGTGCCAGTCTCCCCCCGTAATTGAAAAACTCAGTCTATGATGAGATAGAAACTCTGGATGGAACAGAGATGAGTAACTACTGCCTTAATTGCACAAAGTCACAATGGAAAAATAGTGGACCAGAGGCACAAAGAGGGAAATCTGAAAAGCCATAAAGGGTATAAAATCAGGGAGCTCAGAAAAGCATGTATTGTCATATCATACCTGAGGATGTTGTGGAGACTTTACTTCCAGTTGGAATGATTCAAGGTACATATCTATTAAGCCACATATAGTTTGAACCTTGATGACCAACCTGACTACCTTCTAAGCATTAATTGCTCAGTATTACCTAGGATAACCTCCAATAAAATCCTGATGTGTTTCTGTTTTTGGAAAACACATCTTTTCCTCATCCATTGAAATCTAAGATGTTCCACATAGATTTTCTGTGACTATAAGTTTTAGCTGAACTTGCTTCATCAGCACAACGGAATTGACTTGTGTGGGTTGAAGAATGTTAATATTAGCTAACATATATGATATTCCTATTATGTACCAGGTATGGATCATGTCATTCCCTTTTCATAAAAATTCCTTGATATAGAGACTAATATTACCACTTTGCCAATGAAGAAGACAAGGCTTACAAATTTCAAGTACCATGTCAAGGCCACATGCCTTGTAAGTGTCAGAGTACATTGTGTAAACAACTCCAGGGTTGGGACTTGAATTTAAGCTCTTAGCCATTCCCCTATTCAGCCTCTTTACACCCTTGAAAACATGCATACACAACACAATAAAATATACAACACAATAAAAGTTTTTACATCTCAAGAAAACAATATACAACATTTTTCTGTTTTTTTAGTTGTTCATAAATTGACTTAAATTTACAAGATTTTATTGTATTAAACAAAGGTACCCAGGCTTGTTATAGTAAGAATCCTCAGGCCTTTTAATATGCTAGTGTGCAAAAGAGGACCAGAATGTGAAGTTATTCCCCAAATATTTTGGACTAGATTTCATTGTTACAGAGTCTGTTGATACTAGGTTGAAGGAACCAACACACCTTTAGATCAAGTTCTTCACAGTATATGAGAACACCTATTAAAATGGTCTAGGGGCTTTTTGTATCTTAACATATTATATTAGTGAGTTTTCAAAGAAATGGCAGTTGATGACTCAGTTGTCTTACTTATTTATGACTGAAGAGAGTGGAAGACATGAACATGAACACATGTAGCTAAATACGCTTCTAAATGAATATGGATTTGTAAGCTTGCCTGGAGATAAGAGATTGAGCAAGCAAAAAATATTCTCATCTAGCATTGTGGTGAAAGGTGGTGAATTTGATGCCAGGATTTGAAAATGAGATGGATCACAAGTCCCAAAATTGGCAAGAAATATATGGCACCAATGATTAGTCAAATGCAACCAAAAAACTGGTCTCTGTGTTTTCTTTTGTATACCTGTTAGAGATTCCTCATTTTCCTATTTGATATAAAGTAGGTTCAAATTACTATTGATAGTTTAAAATTATAGATTGTCATTCTACTAACAAGAGAAATTTGTCTTTTATTTTGAATTCAAACGATTTTCAACATTCTGAACACAAGACAAACTAAAAATAAATTTTGCTAATTTTCTACATTCCTATACTATATGTATGTATCTGTCAGGAGTTCAGTACATAGGAGAAGTATGAAGAAAGGTTGTTTCTCTCTTTGTCTGTCCAGGAAAGGCGAAGTGATTTAGAATTGAATGTCCTTTGAGAGCAATTTTTGAATTTTTGAATTGCTCTCAAAGGACAATTACTATGTTAAATATATGAGATATTAACATTAAAACGGAGAAAGAAAATATGTTTATAAAAAGCATATAAAATTGCATATAAAATATATAACAGTAAGAGGATATTTGGTATTGGGGAATAGTTGGGAATAGTTTTGTCTTTTGCTGTAAGCAAATATAATGGTTGGAATAACAATTCACATGCCATGAAGAAAAACCTAAATTGACTTTCACCTTGTTCAACAAGGAAGTATGATGTGTACTATACTTTTCTTTCATGACAGCTATTAGCATTTTTAAAAACTGGCCTTTAGAGCCGGGCACGGTGGCTCACACTTGTAATCCCAGCACTTTGGGAGGCAGAGGTGGGTGGATCACAAGGTCAGAAGATTGAAATCAACCTGGCCAACATGGTGAAACCCTGTCTTTGCTAAAAATACAAAAAAATTAGCTGGGCGTGGTGGCACATGCCTGTAGTCCCACCTTCTCAGGAGGCTGAGGCAGGAGAATCACTAGAACCCAGGAGGCAGAGGCTGCAGTGAGCTGAAATTGTGCAACTCCACTCTAGCTTGGCAACAGAATAAGACTACACCCCAAACAAACAAACAAAAAAACTGACCTTTATAGTAATAAACTTTAGCTATTTAGAAAGTTGGTTTATATCATACAGATTATTTTCCAACTCTCCTAGAAAAGGAATTACTATAGCATTACCATAGTTCTAATAAGATATTTAAAATCATTTTACAATGTTATTGTTCTTATATTTTTTAATAAAATGGATGGAATTTTATGTACATTCTAGAATAGTCAATAAAAACAGCAATTGTTTGTTTTGATTGTTTCTTTTAAACTATTAGAATAGAGAAATATGATTGTATTGAATACTCAATTATTTTGAGGATTTTCCTTCTATATGTTTCAGTAATTTAGTTTTTTTGTTTGTTTGTTTTTTGTCGTTGTTGTTGTTTCCTGTTCTATAGGCTCCAGAAGTTCTGGAAAACGAATATAGCAATAATAAAACTTAAAACCTACACATGTGACTTTGAGATGACAACAGTTATTTGTAGATTTTAGACTATGTTCTATGCTGCTAGACTGAGTAGAACACGTTTGCCCTAAAATCTTTTCCAAGCCTACAATATGGTCTCTAGTTTCAAGTGATGACAAAGACAGACTGGTACAAAGAGCAGGAAATTCATTTTTGAAAAATCCTTAAAGATTCCTTTGGAGTCTGATATAACACCATCTCTTTAAGTAGACTAAGTACACATCCCTAAAGATTTGTTTTTAGATTACTCTATTTATTCTTTTACTTCTAAAATTTGATTTGCATTGTATTTACACAAACAATTTTTTTTTCTATATACATTTAGATATCCAGACCAAAACTTACTGTGTATATGCTGCTGAGATTTGTATGGAAGTGGTATGGCTCAAGCTATTGCAAAAGACTTCAAAGTTTTGAGTGAATCTGCATAGAGACATAAATTATCCAGGATATCCAAAGCCATAAATTAGCTGCAGGATATATATAGCTCTCTCGTGGCTCACAGAATCACAACAATTCTCTCTATTTCACATTTGTCTATTATCACGTTTTCTCTAAGAATCTTCATGGGCTTTCCTGCTTTTCCCGCACTGTTTTTATTTCCATATTCAGAATATGCTCTGTGGTAGCAGTTGCATTTACAAAGTTAAAAGTACTGGGCTACCTAAATGAACGTTAAACTTGGTTCTTTCCTCCCTCTCTGCCTACAACACACACAGAGATTAGTAGACACAAACTACAGGCACTGTTAAATTAAAGGTAAAACCAAACATTTTTAAGAAAAAAATTGTTGGATTAAATATGATTCACCACTAAAAATATTTTCTTTGGCTGCTTGAAATATATATATGTGTGTATGTGTGTATACATAATATATGCAATATTATATAACATACGTGCATTGTTACACATATATGTGTGTACATGTATTCATTTATTGTTTTATACATGTATATATATATAATGGTTTTTTACATAAAAAAGCCTATAAATATTGTTTGGAGCAGAGGACAGAATAGTCTGATCAACATAAAAATAAAACAACTAATTTAAAAGATACCACTGTTACCTAAAGTCATGGTTGAAAGTTTCAAAAGAGAAACAGTTTAGAAGGAAATGTCAGTTTTTGAATTTTTTAAAAGCTCATACAAACCATGAATTCCTTTTCCTAAATTAATCTCAGGATCCTGGATAAATGTCATAGTGTCCCCATAGAGTGATAAAGGGTGAGAATCTGGCCATGATGAATAACCACTAAGTGAATTTCATAAATATTTGAAATAACCGTCCTTCACTGTTTTAGATGGCTATCCTCCTGTTTTGGTTCCTCCTCAAGCCCCCCTCTATTTTACAATAAAACATATTGTTGCCAAAATACCTCATCTTAATCATATAATAAAATTAAATCCCCTTTTCAGTGCAAAGAAAGTAATTAAGTTTAAATATGTACTAGCTCTTTGTATGTAAGCTTCATAAAATTCATTTTTAAATATCTTATGCAAATATCAAAACATAAAGCAGTCATTTCATGGCTAAAAGCTATTTTTGTCTCTTCATCTTTTCCAACATATTTTCATACACATACAACCTGTAATACAGATAGATGCACAGTTGATGCAAATGGAAATAATATTTTTAATCAACATTGCAACTGCTGAATGGATAAGTGCTTTAATGATAGGAATAAACAGTTTGATTGTACTGTTTTAATTAAGTTTGTTTCAAAATATGTTTTAGAAATAAAAAAACATATGAACAATAAAAGTGAGTACACATTTGTTTGGTGCAGGACAGACTTTCCTATGATGTAATCACACATTTTACAAAAGTGTGATATTTAGTGCATGGAAAGAAGACTTTTGTCCTGCCTGTGACATTTATAAGGTTCACTTTACAATGCAGACTTCTCTGAAAGGAAAAGTCATAGGAAGTTGAACACATTAAGTTCAAATAGCATTATCCAAAAGTCCCAAAGAGAATTTATAACAATTAGAAAAATCAAAGCCCCAATATAAGAAATTATTGTTCCAAGAAGATGTTTGGCAATAAAATACAAAACAAAACTCTCAAAACGAAAACCCTGTCTTAAAAATGGAATGAAAATATACTGATTAAAATTGTCCTTATGAGATTGTATGAGATATGAACAAAAGAACTCCATTATTTAATACCAGATACCTCACAAGAATGTTAGGCTAGGAACTCAGATCTTATTTTAAATACATTTCTTTTAAAAAAATGTGAAAATCCTCTAAAAGTTGTACGCCTCGTTATTTATCTAGATGTTTCAACTCACATATCTCTCTTCAATAAAGAACTCACCCCCAAAATTGAATTATTTAGAAGCCTAAACCCAGTTTTTTCTCACATGAAATTATTCTATTGGAACAAAACACCCATGTTTCAAATAGAGAAAATACGAAGAAGAAAATTAAAAAATAAACTAGCTAAGGGAATCCTGAAAACCAGGAACACCCTGCCAATTGCCACAATGAATTAAAATAGCCAATGCTCATCGATGTCTTTAATAGAAATAATAAAATCAGGCGCATCATGAAATGTCACCATACCTGCGTGCACTTTAAACGACTACGGCACACACGATGTAAAATCTTCACTCTCAGAAATAAAGCATACTTCATTTAACTGCTGCAAAACACTGCTGCAGAGGAGCCCAGTACATTTTTTTCAGGCAACTGATCCAGCTTTCCACCAGCCCTGTGACCTTTGAACTCCCTTCTGCCCCCCTCCTCTCGCTTCTGCAGTCAAAGCCTCCAAGCAGGTCTCATTTGCATAAGGCTCAGGCAGTCCTCCAGCAGCTGAAACGGAATGCTGGGTAAGGAATTGTGGAACTGCGGTTCTGCCAAGGTACCTGAATCACGGGAGAGCAGGAATACGCGGTGGGAAGTGGGCACGGGTTTTACTGGGCTGTCAGCATCACATTCCTCCCTGTCTATTAATGGATAAACGATTTTAACGCTTTGTTTTAGAGTTCTATTCTCACTGCTTACCCCTTCCCCACCAAAAGAAGCTGTCAGCAGCGACTGTGGTAACCAAGGAAACCCAAATAGTCAAATGCTTCATTTAAATACGTGTGGAAGGCCAATTTTAAATTTTCATTAACTTCCCTTGTTTTTGAAACATAGCTTTTTTTTTATTTAATTCAAATACATATTGCACGTATAATCAGGCACATGGGGTATTTCTTTTTGTTGCTGTGGTTTGAACGGGATCTTACAGTCATAAATTTATATTAGTCACTACACAAATACATGAGGTCACTATAGTAATTCTGTAAAATGTTAAATGTGCCCAAGTGCCTTAGAGACTGTCATCCTAAGTGGTGTCTAAAAATTAATTGTAAAGAATTTAGGTCCCAGGATGCCTTTAAAACAAAACAGCAGTAAAAATGTAGAGCAAAGTTAAACTATGTATTTAAATCTAAAGATTCATATTGCTGTAATGCTTGTCTGTCTTTGGCAAAGATATTCAGTGTTGTGCTTTTATTTGCTAGTTATTTCTTTCCTTATTTTCCTACACACAGCAATCTCTCTATTTGAAACATAAACTTCTCTATTGCTCATAAATGCAAGAAGTGGTTATTTTCTACATAAAGAAGGTCATGTGTATACATATTTTATAAGTATACATACAGACACATATTCTTTCTAAATAGCAAACCAATGAAAATATGCATCATCAAATAATATCTTCTTTTTAAAAATTAAGCTAGTTTGTTTTTCTCCAAATATCAGTGAATAATATTTATAAAAGAAAAGGTTTTGTGCAATAATCTTTTCCATTTGCCAAAAGAAATGTAACATGAAAAAAAATATAGATATGTATTACTAAAATATAAAATACATTGTTCTAATAGTGTTAACATTTCAAAATTTCCTTGTTTTTAATTTTTTTATTCAAATAATTAAATATTCCAAACCTTCCTTTTGCAGTATACTAAAACACATCAACCAATTTTGAAAGATGTATTATCTAATTTATAAGACATGTAAACTATTGCAACACAGATTGTTTTAATACTGGAAAAATAATTTTGAAGCTTTTTATGTGAGCTACTTGTTAGTAGTGTTCTCTTTTATATTATTTCTGCATACATATAAGATTAAAATTTATTAGATGAATTTCTTTCTTACCTATAAAATTTTAAAATAGAATAAATAACTTTTCATTTTAATATAATGATATCAACATTTCTCTGTCACATCTGACTACATTGACAATTTAATCACATTGGGTCAATTCAAGTGCATCCTTAACATTACACACTACAAATATCTTGCAAAGTTTTTGTTTAAGGCAACCAGCCCATTCTAATTAAATCCAGTCAAACCCAAGGAAGTATTGGAATAATTTATAAAATCACCGACCTGTTCAAATAGCTGTAGTCTTAGTCCTTGCACTCTTTATTCATTAGGATCCAAAATAAATTATCATTTTATAATATGTGTCAGCATCACCGAAGACACAGTTCTTCCTGGTTCAGAGGAATCTTCTCAAATTTCCCAGCCCTGTGTTTTATTGCTTGTACCATATGCTTTATTGTTCAGCGACAAGAGCTTCACTCTGCACAAAGACTCATTACCTACTGCTTGCTGCACGGCATCAGCCTCACTGAGGCTGCCTATATGTGATCACATGGAGTTTTGTCTGTGAGAGCCAGGCGTGCCACTGACTTCACTGTGTCTATGGTTATTTTTATCAGCTGAGGTCTACTAGGAGGAAGGAATAACAGATAAGGAAGCTGCTCTAAGTCATTAATGCAGCACAACTTATGGAAATCCCTTCACAAGATTTTTTTTATTATAGAAAATGTTTGAGCAAGCCTCAAAAGAAGTTAACTAGATTTTATTTTAATAAGCAGCTGAATAATAATTTAAGGAAGGAGAACTTGCAAAAAGCCATTTCCTATCTCATACTTTCTGAAAGTACTTTTGTACAAATGTTATTAAAGAGCCTTGCGCTACTGAATGATTTGGCAATATGTTTTAACCTTTAGATTGCTGGCATTTCTTTTTCTTGTTTTTTTTGTTTTTTGTTTTTGTTTTTTTTGTAAAAAGATTATTGCTGTTTCCTTCAAAATATCCTCAAATAAAATCTCAGTCACTAAAAGATACTGTATATGAATAAAAATAGATATCCTAATTAATTTTGATAAAGTAGATGAGAGGGTGAATCATTTTTGTTGATGTATATAAATGAAGTAGATGATTATCTTTTCAAAAGATGACACATTCCTAGAACAGCTGACTTAAAGGAACAGTGCAGATTTCAATATAAGTTCTAAAGGACATATGTTTTATATTAATTTTAAAAATTGCAGTAACTTATTTTAGACAGCTTACCTCAATAAAGTACACGATTTACCTTATCTGATTTTAGTGTTAACATGTAGTTTCAGGGAAAACTATTCAACATTTATAGGAATTTTCCACTGCATAAATATTGCATTAATATATATACACATATGTGTGTGTATGTGTCTGTGGTCAGATTATCTTTCTAAAAATATTTTTTAAATATCTAAAATTATTTCTCAAAAACTAAAAATGGATTGTGGATTTCCAAATAAAGAACTATTTAGCTATTGAAACTTATTTTTTAAAAAATCAATTTCTTAACTGTTTAATGACTTTCTAAATTAAAATGGTATTTGAAAGCTTGTTGCTTTTAAGTCTCAGTGAAAATCTTATGACAAATGCATGCAAAGTGCAACAAAGAGCACAGAAGGAAAAGTCAGAAACACCATAAATGCAGATGAAAAAATAAATTTTCTAAATAGTTAGATATATAGTAATTTAATGGTACTTATAAATAATTCAGTAATTAAAAAGTGAATATACATATATATGTATATATTTTAGCTTAAGCCTTCTATTAATAAGAAATTCTTTGGGGGAAAATATTATAATTCAAAATTTTTTGTGTGTCAATTGAAATTTTAAAAAATAATTTAAAACCAGAATAGGCAACTATGGTTAAGTAGCTTAGCTTTTAAATACAATGAGTTAATATCTTTCTTTATAATATTATTTGTAGGGTTAGCATTGATCCAAAATGTTTATAATTTAAATAAATATCTTTTGATGGGTTTTTCTTAACATTGAAAGAAATATTCAGATATGTTTTAGATACCATCATTTTAATGCATTTGTCCCAAAATGTTCATGTCATTTTTAGCATAGCATTAGAGCTATGCTAAAGCTGCAAAACCTTGGGGCATTAAAAGAAAAAGGAAAAGTGTTTCTGGCTTATAATTCTGGGTTCTTAAGATTTGTACATCCTAGTTAATATATGTGATGATGTCACTCATGCTTATGTACAAGGAAGTAAACAAAAGGCAGCCATTTTTTTCTTACTGCATCACTTCAAAAAACAGTGAAATAAAATGGTTGCCCAATGGAAGGAAAGAATCAGCAGAAAACTAAGTTACTTGCAAGTTTTTAGGGAGTGGGAGTCGGGGAACAAGGATTGTGAAATTGGAAAAAAAATCCACATATATGTGAAATGTATGTGTATATATACAAAGGAATAATTTAACAATAAGAAATAACTATAACTAAATACAAGGAATATGAAAATAGCTAGCAATTAAAACAAATTTCCAAGAAAGCAGTGACTCTCCAATGGGAAGTCTATAGTGTATGGTATTAAATATAAGAACCTGATAATTAATTCATGTTGAAAAGATATTTAAAGGTGGACATAAGAGCTAGAAAGAGATAGAAAGAATCATGGGATGGTAATAATCTCTCCAGGTCTTCTATTGTCATAAATGACCTTGGTGAGTTATTCCAGAATCTTTTGCCTTAGTTTTCAAGTCTAGAAACCAGGAACAGAAAAGTCTTTGGAAAGTATGTCCTGGAAACCTATAGCAATAATTTGTACTTCAATTCCTTAAATTGTCTTTAACCAAGTATTGTCAATTAGTATTGATAAAATTGAAAGATATGATATAAAATCTAACAATTGCTTAAAGGAATTTTTAAATGAATTATTCTAACAACACAGACAGATAAAATAAGTAGGTAGGACTTTTGAATATAAGCAGTAATGTTTTTTTCCGTAATACATGCAGAATAAATAGAATTAAATTTGGGAAGTAGTATAATTTGAAACCTCATAAAATTGCCCCAGGATAAAAACAAATTACAAAATATGCCCATCCTTCTAATCAAAATTCTGGAACCAATGAGATGGCAAGAGGATAGCCACCAAGATTCTAAATTTACACAATGAACAATGGTGGCTCTGCTTATAAAACAATTTTATAGGCCAAGAGTTTATTAAAATATGAAATTAACAAAGAAAACACAAGATCATAGCTGTGAGAAGCAAATTCCATCCAAGATTTAAAGGATGTTTTAATTTACTTTGCCATGTTAAATGCTGTGAATTGGGAAAAAAAGAAAAGTCAGTTCTTTCAGCTGACTTTTTATTAGCTTGTTTTTTCTCCAAATAGGCCTCATAGAATTATTTGCTCCCCTTTCGTACAAAATAACCAGAGCTTATCAGAAGTAATCCAACATGTTTGCTATCCAGTTCTTGTAGTAATTTAGAAATGAACGTATGCTAACTGGACGATGTTTTGAACATTCTATGCATTAAGAAAGATTTACTAACACCATCACCTGTGTTTCCTGGAACCATATTAACTGGTACATACACAAGTTGCTACTGTTGGATTCACCCTTGATGAGGCTGGATATTCTTGTTCTATTTTCTTCTCCTTCACAACACATTCAGAGAAATTAATAAATTGGCTATGTCCACCTCAAAATTTTAAAATTCAGGACTAATTCAACTCAATTTAACAAACATTTATTGAGAAGATTCCATGTACCAAGTTTTGAGACAGTTGCTAGGGATATAAAAATGATATATGAAACATACACTGTTCTCAAGGAGATCATAGTCTCCTTAGCTTAAAAAAAATGTGCTGAGCATGTTATGTGAAAGTGTCAATGGGACTTTTCCAAAAGTTTGAATATTTTATTACGTGAATATGTATTTTATGAATAAATTTCTTTATTTTCAATATATCTGCTAAAATCAGAAAAATCCTTTGTGTAATTAAAAATAATTTACCAAATGTCAAATTGTAATTTATCCTTTTAGTTTTGGATATTATAACCTAGAACAGATAAAACTTCTCTTCATAAAAAATATTTTAAATAAAATTTTTAAAATTGGCTACATATTTTTGCTATTCTTTCCAGCAAGAAGTAGAATCTAATTTCCTCCACCTTTATTCTTAGCTGGTCTGAGTGATTTGCTTAACCAGTAGAGACTACAGAAGCGATGTTCTGGAAAGTCCCAGTCTAGGTCCTAGGAAACCCTGTGGCTTCCACTTGAGCCTTTTGAAACACTCTGTCCAAGAACTCTGAGCTACCATGTAAGGGGATTCATTACTCTGAGGCTGTCATGCTGGAGAAGCCGCATATAGGCGCTCTGGGAGAAAAGGGAGTTCCTAGTTGTAAGTGGTCCTTTGGGAAAACCCCAGAAACAAAGGCAAGAGTTTTACTAACTACAATAAGAGGGACTTTGAGGAGACTTGGGTGACAGAGGGACTTTGAAGGAGGATGTCTAGTGCTCTCTCGGAGCCCTGTGAAGCTGGAGGTGAGAAGATGTTTGCAACATGCAGGACATTGTAAAGTCACCAGGGGATAAGATAAGCGCTATGGGCAAAGTAATGAGTAAAGAAGGCAATTTTGGCAGTTGAGGAGGAACCTGGAGGAGCACTGGGGCAGCAGCAGGGATCTCATGAAGAATCAGCGAGAAACAATGGGGGCATAAACTAAAGGCAGGACTAAGGAAGGAGAAGAAAAGAAGATATCAGAAAGAATTATGAAATATTTAAAATTGTTTGATAAACTGGTCTCTGATCTTATGGGTAGCCTTAAAAGTCAATGGTTCAATGATTCAACTGCCAATTATATCTTGAAGAGCATTAATTAAACTAGTTTTGTTACACAGATTCAGTAATTTCACAGGTATTTTTATTCATATTTGCCTCAGTTGATTAACTTTCCAGCATTGTGAAAAATTATTTGTATCAAATATTGTTAATGTTATGTTTGGAAAACTGAGAGTAAGTATAAAACAACAGGACCACCCTTAAATAAAGTATATAGTGGACAGTGTTATATTTTTTCTTGGGTCTGATTTCTAATTTAGGAAAAAAATGTATAGAAAAGACAAATATGTTTTAGCTATGCAAGGATAAGAAACAGATAACTTTGGATAATGCAGACTAAGACTTAAAACACACACACACACACACACACACACACACACACACACGCACCCCATTACCTATTGAAGTAAACAAGCCTACTGGAGTTTTATCCTTTTGATTTTTCGTTCTATTTGGATATTAGACTACTAAAGCAGCAGATGTTAACTTAAGTGGCCAGTGAATGGCCACTCAGAATGCTGCAAGTTAAGTGGTAGGGGTAGCTCTGTAATTGCTGCTACTGCTTCTACAATATGCACAAAAATCATTTGAACATGGCTGTAAGAATTCTTTATACAAAGTGACACAGCGAAAAAAGTATCCAGATTTTCCCCACCCTTAAGTCTCTATCAATACAAAGGCATTAGAAAACAGCATTTATTGAGAGAAAAGAATAAATGAAGCAAACCACCTCGCTGAGAACACAAAAGATACATTAATTTCTTAGCACCATAAACATTAACTGTAATGATTTGATCTGATGTCTAACCTGTGTCAAAATAAAATATGGAGTAAAATAGTTTATGCTAAAGTCAAATATGAATTGAGCAGGTTTTAAAAAATATAATAAGACTGATGTTCCTATAATTGGTTGCACCATAAGTTAAAGGGTTATGACACTGCTTTTGGATTCAAGGCATAAGAAAAAGAGTTTTCTATATTTTATTTCACCAATACAAGTCCACAAATACTTGGTTAATAAAATGAGATTACTTTTATTTGTATCATAGAGACATACAGAAACACCTTTGGCATATTATTCATTTGGGTTCATTCATTCATTTATGCATTAATTCATACATTTATCCATTTTACATTCACTGAGTTCTGTACTTTCAGAACCAGTTCATTGTTCTGACATGTTAGAGAGCTGGCAGTCTGCAAGCTAAGT